CGGGTTCCGGGGGTGCCGGGCAGCTCCTGGGAGGCAGACGGCTTTACTTGGCCACACAAATCAAAGTGCAAAACAGTTTTTTTTTCTCTCCCCCCAGAGAAGGATCCCTGCATCCTTTTAAGGCAAAGAGGTGCCTCTTTAAAATAGCATGAGTCTTGTCTTTTTCCTGCAGCAAAATCGGCCCTCATAAAGCAACAATCTCATCAACAGAAGTGTATTCTGTTTAATGGGTATTGTTTTCTATTGTGTTTACTTAATGTACTGAGGGCAGTAACTCTGTTGACCGCTCCACACCGGCTCATTTCCAGTATCTTTCCCTTCAGGATACTCCCAAAACATAATTACAAGAAATTACTTCACAATTTTGTGGAGGAAGGCTGGTTTGAATTATGCCAGCAGCTACAGGTTTACAGTTCGAGACATCAGCGGTGTACTTCTAGCTCTACTTTCAGGTAAACTACTTAAACTCTGGAAATGGCTTTGATGTTTAAGTGAAATTATTTCTCCAGAACAGCAGGAGAAATGAGCTTCCACCCCAGTATCATAGAAGGTACTTGCTTAAAAATCACTATGGGCTACAGCCCAGCAGGTGTCACTATACAAAGGGACTACGGAGTGCAATCTCTTCCTCTTGTTCCTTAGAATTTTCTTTACGAAGTAAAGCAGATGACTTCTTATAAATTGCGTCATAGAAAATACTCTTGTGAGTGCAAAATCATTGCTGGAGTGGGACAGCTGAATTAAATCTCAGGTAGGAGGAGGCGAAGAGGTGATCGGGACACATCTTTCGTGATTCTAAGCGCCACCTGTTAAGTCGGGTCTACAAAAACCGTCTGGAACTCTTTCTGCATAGCTGAGATAGGGAGGGATCACATCAAGTAAGAATACGAGTTTAAGAGTTAAAAGATTATATTCCAGGGCCAATATTATCTTTAAATATCTAAGTTGATGGAAGAAACTTCTCATCTAATAGATGTATTATTTTTAAAAAATTAATACAGTTAAACTATCTTTTGTGATGATTAATACAATGAAAATGTAAGAAGCTCCTTGACAAAGTTTGTAATAATGAATTCTACCCATCAAACATCTGACAATATTAAAAAAACAGATGCAAACCTGTAAGCACTATGTACATTTCTCTGAAATATTTCTGAAACTGATTAAGACCCGAGGTATATAATGACCACTTTTATCTTCCTACTGATGTCTGATTCAGCATTAACTTAAGGAGAGAGAAGAACAAATCGTTAGAAAGGAGATTGCTGCGAGGATTAACAAATTGTATAATTATTAATTTGGAAATTTGGAGGCATTAGACAGTGACTCATCTGTAAATCCATGTCAGGTAGAATATATTATACATTTTATTTTTAAGTTTCAGGAACCAAGATAAAGACATTTAAGGTGAGCCCAGCCCATGTAGCTTAGTGGTTGAGCATCCACCTGCAATTCTTGGCCCACCCACATGCTGGGATCTCGGGCTGGAGCCCCAGCAGGGAGTGTGCAGGAGGCAGCTGATCAATGACTCTCTCATCATGGATGTTTCTTTCTCTCTCCTCTCTCTCTGTCGCTCTCTCTCTCTCTCTCTCTCTAGGAAATCAATAAAGATATATATTTTTTTTAAAAGTAAGGTGACACACATGTTGAACTGTGTATCTACAAGGGAATTTACACAGTTTTCAAAAGCCCAAAGAATTAGCTCAGTCTCTCACAAGGCTTTTGAGACTATGAAAAATGGCTTAATTCAATCACAGTCTATGAAACTTGTGCTGTAAATCCCATCTTGCCTGAATAAACTTCTTTCCAATGTATTTAAATGAATGGTATTTTAGTACTGAGCCATTTAATGGTATTTGCTTAGTGTGGAGACATTTACCATAGGCCATGCCTCAGAATGAGTCATGAAAATATTGCTAGGCATTAGCCAAGGCGGATTCAAGCAAAGGGACACAATTACTGTTCATGGTTGCCTGAAACCTGGGCTATATAGTGAAATTTTAAAAGTGGCAAAAGGTTCCCCTAATAAAGTTTATCTCAGCCTCTATTTCTCCAAACTGCTTAGAAACCTAAAACACTTTTTAAAAAATCAGAACTTGTATAAGAAACATTGGTAGCCCGTGCCATTTTTCTAGGATGTAGCTTTTGACTCTATCCTTACAGGTGGAAAACAATATTAGCTAATTGAATGAGCTAGTTCAGGAAAGAGGGACACTAAATAGATCTACAAGATTAATGACACAATTAAAATTTAAAGGCCACTAATTACAAAGTTTGCCCTCATCAAAATGTCTTGGGGGGAAAAACAAGTTAAAATACTTAAAATTGCTCTCATTAAGATGTTAAAGAAATGGTACAACATCTTTACACTGAAGTTTCTCTGCTGAAGTAGAGCGGCCTTATTTTTAATTTTGATATTTTTGGTGGTCCTAAAAAAGTCATTTAACTCAACTCGAACTGATTTTGTGCAGCTAAGAATTCTATTTCAAATGTAAAGAAAATAGATTGTTTTCAGATTTTTCTCCATCCTACAGATGAACTATATGAATAAACTTTAACTAGAGAATCTCAATCCTGCAGAGATTGAAAATTGTCTTCTTATTAGTCATAATTAGTCATAACAAATAAAATATTTGCCATGGAAGAACTTACATCATACATATTCCAGGCACTTTGTATATTATATGCACAGCATTTTTAATGAAGTTACTTTTACAAATGGGAACATTGAAGGCTTTCCCAAAGTCACATGGATAGTAAATATTGCAATAGAAAAAGAAACTTAAACGTGGCTGATTTACCATCTGACATTTTTCAATATGAATCTGAGCAGTTGTTACACTTGTTTCCTCCCCTCTCCTCTTCTCTTTAACTCCCCCCTGTCCTATCTTCCTCCTTTCCTCAACTTCTATATGCCAGCCCTTTACATTTCCTGAATTGTGTCTTTAGAAAGTCTGTACTTCAAATGGTTATTTACTTTGTTTACAGGAGTCTTACTTCTTGGGTTCTCTTAGCTCCTCTGAGACCAAACCAGTCAAACAGGTCTGGGCTAGAAATCTGTGTGTGGAGTTGTTATCTGCTCAGTTGATAGGCTTTAGTATTTGCTCCATTAAAATCATTCTTTATTTTTCAACAAGGTGAGTGTATCTCTATTTTCATTGTTAACCATTGCTAATCTATATCCCTGACCCTTGATCTCTTTCTCTACTAGTATGAGACTACAATTCTCAAATTGTAGGTTCTCCAGCTTTGAAAAAATAAGTTGGTGACAGTGGTTTCCTCTGGAGAGGGAAACTGGCCAGAAGGAGAATTTTCTATGTTTGTCTCTTTATACCTCATTAATTGTAAACCAAGTGAATATATAAGATTTTACAAAATTCAAAGTTTAAGTCTTCAACATTTCTTTCAATACCTTTAAACATCTCAAACACAATAAAGTACGTATTTCCCAACTCAACCAAAATAAGAGCCTGTTGCAAAATTTCAGATGTAAAAATAGGATAGTAAGGGATTTCATAGTGATCGTTTATTAGTGATTTTAGTTCTTTAGAATGTGCATGTGACAGATTAAAAAAAAGTGTTGTGATCACACATACTTTTATCACAGGGGTAAATGTAAACTCTGCACTTGTTTTTTCCTTATTGGAATATTTCACATGAAAACTCAATGAGAAGACTATACATAATCTTTGAGATTATATACAATAGCAGTTGCAAAATAACCAACAGCATTTAATAAATAATATTTGTTAGTTGAATACATGCATACACACCCACAGTAAAACTTTTAAGAAAGGCAAGCTGCTTTTATGGATCTATCATATCTAAAGGTCTCTTTCTTTTCACCTGTTCACAAAATGCTTTTCCATATCTATTCTCATAGGGGAGCCCTGAGAAACCTGTGTAAAGTGCCTCTGATGGTCAGATGTGTGTAATGAAGCTCAAAAATAATAACCAGCTGGAGCAAAGAATTTGAGACTGTTACGGCTAATTGACTCCCCTCTAAGCCCTTCAACATGGCCAAAGGCCTTTTCCATGTAACCTTCAGATTTTACTATTTTTCTCCTTCTCATGGACTTTAAATGGTTGACTAGAAAGTTGAGTACTATTAAATTGTGTAAACAACTTTCATACCCTAGCAGAGGCATTCTCATAATGAAAATCATATGGCAAGCTCAATCTTCTTCTACACCAGTGATTTCCAGATAGAGAGGGCTGTGTAGTAAATTTGAAAAGCATCAACTACTTATGCTTATTTACTTTCATACTTTATTTTTATCCTAATTATTCATGATGATACCATTATAATTAACCCTACTT